TTCCGTATTAAATGGTATGGATGAACAAATAAATCGTCAATCTATCAGATTTGACGAAAATAATGATCTGGACGATTGGTTTTCAACCAAAAAAAATCGTTTGAAACAATTCAATTCCAATTTCGAGAGTCGAATAAGGATTTTAAAAAAAGATATATGCATAGCGTGACAGCACATTTAACAACTAATTTCTTATTTCGTAGTGTTTTTAAGTATTTATAAGTTGTAGGTTTGACATATAATGAAAAATATATTTGATCAACTTAAATTTTAACTTAAACGGGTTTAGCAAAATTTATAAATTATTAATAAATGATCAAACTTCATCTTTAATTACACATTTCAGTGGATTCATAGGTATTATTTACTATTCATTTTTATCTATTTATAAGTTGTTTTCAAACGAAGGCTCAATTTCGCCAAACATGCTCTAACTCAACTGGTATTGACAATTGATAATAGGCACAAGGAATTCATAAAAATAAAATAAAGTAACATTTTTACTCGTACCTCGAATATTGATTTGTATATGCACAGAGAACTCCTGAACTCCCAAACGAACTCCAAGAACATCTTTCATTTTCCTTTCTAATATTCGAAAGGAAAAATTAATCAAAATTGATTTTACTTCAAACTTGGCAAAACACGTTCTTCTTTTTTTTTTCTTGTGAATTTATCTTTTTGCCTTTTCAAACTCTTCATATGTATCATATCATAAATATAAACGTGATACAAATGTTTCAGATGCGTTAGTAGAAATCCAATAGGACCAATACAATGGATTCATTTAGATTCTATGCGATAGTGGATCTTGTTAGAGAAGATAAATCTGAGGACCAAAATACACTGGATCAGAAGAGAAGGGCTAAAGAATTAATTTGTAAAAGGAAAGAAAAAAACGTAATACTTGAGATTAATAACAAAAGGGAAAACGCAATCTCTGGAAATCACGCTTTTTACTTACCAGAAATTGAAGAGAGAGAAACCCAGCCTTGCAGCTTCTCCAACGACTTCACACTTCACACCTCTAACAATCCTTGATTTTAGGGATCTCCTTAATGGTGTGTATTCTGTAATTTCACTGTGAAAACTGGTAGAGTATGTATGTATCATAAGTCTCTGTTTTTTCTGTTTAAATAGGTGTATCGATCTCTCATCAATCGTATTGAAAATTAATCTTGATTGAATAGAGAAAATCCTTCTTCAATACCTCAAATTTGTCTGCATTTTATCCTGGTATCAGAGCCTCAACCATGGCCAATACTTTACCCCTTGCTTCAGACTCCAGCTCCACAAATCCGGATACCACAAATCTCAACCCATTAGCTCAAACCTCAACTTTCAGTGGTAGCTTCATCCCCTTTGGAGTAAACCTGACCCAGGCTGCTTCTGTCAAATTAGACAGAGATAATTTTCTGTTGTGGAAAAATGTTATAATGCCAATTGTAAGAGGTCACGGTTTGGAAGGATATCTATTGGGGATCAATGAGTGCCCTCCTCAAACTATCGACACTTAGATCACAACTGAGAGTGGAATCGTTGCTAGGGCATCCCCCAATCCTGAGTATTCTAAGTGGGTTTCTATTGATCAGCTACTTATGGGCTGGTTATACTCTTCAATGACATCAGAAATTGTGATGCGTGTCATGGGTTGCAACAGCTCAAGTGAGCTTTGGA